TCTTAGTCTGATTAGAGCACAAGTGCGTAACTACTAAACCATTAGAAAAAATATATCGATTTCAAGGCATTTCTCGAATCAAATATGCTAAAGGTATGGCGGTGAGGCTGGCCTATGTTAGCTTCAACTTTGATATTGTAATCTATGATGATATCAATATAACCTGACATTGCTTTGGCTTCATAAATGATTCCTAAAATATATGAAGATTTCAAAGTAATTGTCTTTCGGCTATTTCGATATTAGCGCAAATTAATTTACTGAATGTATTAGCTACTTATTCAGATTCAACTAACTTAAGCGTGTGTAAAATGAACGTATTGCAATTATAATGCTGAAAAATAATTTGGTACATTGCTTTCTGTATCCTATAAATGCAAGTTCATTTACACTTTTCACATAGATTCACCCCTGCCAATTTTACTTCACTATGAGAATCCCCTTTTTCCAGGCTAAACGTTGTTATTTCTATTGCGAATCAAGCAAATTGATGTATCATTTCCCTTAATCTCACGAAATATAAGACAAAAAACCCGATCCACATATAGATCATGCAACCAACAATTAAATTGTACATCTGATAGCCTTTTTCAGTGTTATTTTGCCATCTGGTTATATCTAACTCATCATCATCTCGAGAAGTGATATTGACATCAGAACTTAAGAGCTTTAACCTAAAATTCACATTGATTGATACCTTTTATCTGAAGGCTTAATGGGTTGCCATATGCACTTACTATTATTTATTTCCTATATAAGAGTGCAAAGTGAGGATTTAGTCACTATTTCTATACCTAATTTATTAACTGAATTATTATGTATTTTGTTGCATTAACCTTGCTTATACTTCCCATGTATATTGCACTAAATCTCAACCTGTGTTCTGAAGCTGAATGTCGCTAATTTTTAGACATTTCCTAAGGGTCATCATCAGCATCAGTGATTAACATTCTATTTTAGTGTAGATTAATTTTTAACCCAAGAAGATGGTCTATCACTTCCATTTACATTACTTTTTTTTTGTCATTTCCCATTAAACGACTTGTAGAGCCTTTCACTTGCTAACTTTTCCAAATAGAGTTGAATAATTGCTCGAGTCCGTCTATTTCTCACTCTCTCCGTTGCTTATTATAGTTAAAAAAAGTTGCCTGTAGTGAAACCAGCCACCATATTGACCACAACTTTTAAAATTTTATCTCTTTTTTATTGTTGGCTGTGATATTGTTCTCTTAGATTCCTTGTATCCATTGTTAACCCTCAATTCAGTGGTAGATTTCGTCTTGTTCGCGTCCACCACCTGATCATCCAGACACTTAAGATATACTAGCTATCTACCAAGTAAGCTCATAGTCACACTGAGGCAGCCTTGTTATCTGTTTTATTCAAATTACCTTAGAATATGCATCATGAATATACGACCGATACTCAGTAGTTGAGCGATAAGAGCCTTTAAACAAGCAAGCAACTAAGGAATCATATGGACGAAGTATCTAGTCCGGTCAAATCCGTTTTTCTCTAAATAAACATTTATATATGCACTTCATGCTATTTTTCAGGCGTATGGAGACTTATTTATGCTATTTCGGTATGAATTAACAGTAATGATCTTTAAAAGGCCAAAACTAAGGTAATTAATAAGATTTCCTCGGATGGCGATTTGTTGCCATAGCTATTGTTTATAGAACAACGGAAAATATTTTCACAGAGTCCGATTTATGAGCATAGTCGGAGTGCGGAATCGGAGTAGAAGAAAGCATATTTAACTCATCCGTTGATATTACTTAAATTAGTTGAATTTATTTTAATTTTTTTAGGGCAACTATATTTCTAAGCTAACATCCATTAAGGTGAAATTTCTCATAGCAATCTATCTTCCCTTCTTTATTTGGCTAGCCTCTAATACCTTGATAGTTAAAGTACGCGAATAACATTAAAATATTTTAAAATAGGGTATTATATTCTACTTAATTTATTCTTATTTTACTATCCTCCCTCTCATATCCTTCTCATCAGATGGACCGACAGCTGATTCAGTCCAATTTGAACCAACCAGATTCTGCAACTCAGACATCCAGCAGTCTCATTGCGTCAAATACAGCTGGTCAGACCATAAGTGATGAGGGTCAAAGTAACTATGCTTTTAAAACAGCTTGTGAAATTACCACCCGCCCATCGAGCAAGCGAGAGACAGTCGGCAGTTCAGATTTCTCCGTCTCTCCTAGACATCGATTTGGCGGCATCACTCCTGGTGCGAACTCTGGGCCGCCTATGTGTGAAAACAATAGTGCATCTCGACTGGCTCGTCTGCTTGTCTCCCCTTTGGCTTTGTCGACCTCTTCACAGTCTCCCATTTTTGCCAGCATTTCGACCTCCCATGTTCCCACAGCCAGCAATAGCCTCTCCGGCACTAATGTTTCTTTTGCTACTTCCAATACTATTGATGGTTCCGGGATTGTTTGGGACAACGATAAAATTGGAAGTATTGTTGTTCGAGGCCAGAGCGAAGAGCCAGGGCTGCCACACGCCAAGACTAGTCTTTTGTCTTCACCCAATTCCTTTTCTTCATTCTCCAGCTTCATTTCACTCGGCAACTCAGCATCCTTTGTCACATCTTGCAGCCCGGTCGGGTCGGCTCAAGTGTTGTCTTCGGCTGGTCGACGAGTTAATTGTGAATCTAACAAGCATGACAGCGACGAAGCAGTTATTGATGAAGCTGAAGTCGTTAGACAGTCATCAGGTCTCCAAGGAAAGGAGGAGCAGGGCGGCGAAGCCAGCAAGGAAGCTGCAGGGAGTGGTAGCCGAAAATGGCTGGCAGGTAGCCGTTTTCGCCACAGCCTAGGCAAGGGAGGTTCGCAACTACGCTCGTCACTATTTTCGCGTTACGGTAGGGCAAGTTTGAGGCTATCCAAGTCTACTGCCAACACTTGTACCTCTGATTCTGACTCGGCATCTGTCGTAACTAAGGGCGGGATGCACAATCGTCAGGATGCCATTTACTCCACGGCTGACGTAAGCACTTTCTTTTTTCAAAACCCTTTTGCATTTTTATCAATGCTCCATAGTAGACATTGCATGATTTTTAATCTTATGATGGGCAAAGCTAGTCAGCTGATGGCAAATAGTTTATGCCTGCCTATATTACAACCCATTTCTTTTTCAACAGATTTGTCTGTTTGGCAGCTTTTATTGAAGCTTTAGCCCTGGACTATTGCACAATTTTCTCTGGTTTCTACACTGATGCTTGTTTAACGATGTCTCCTGACTAACTTGCTGAGTGATCTGA